GTTTCAAAACATCGATTAACACTATAACAATCACAAAACATTACAGTAATTTGCATTTATTGTAATATTGAAGTAATGGTGTAGGAATGAACTTCAGTCTGATAGGTGCGATGCATACAGGAAAGGTTTCTGGAAAGGACAATCTTGTGCTTTTTTGCATCTCTTCATTTAAAATACGTTTCGTTTCCGTGCTTGTCATTTTCTGACACTCACAAAATCAGTGAACTTTGTGGTTAAAAAACCAACAGTAGTTAAATTCCTACCAGAACTGTCATTTGCATCCTCTCCATTGACTGAGAAACCAGGAATCTTAAGTAGAAATCGAGGTCCATGTTTTCCTTTTAGGGTCTGATAGGTAATGGACACTACAGGATGACAGTGCAACAGCCATCGTGGGGTGGGAGCACGCCTGCAATTACAGGGAAGTTGACTGTTTTGATGCAGAATGGATTTAAAACTTGTATTTACCCCGTGTTAATGAAGGTCCCATTAATGTTTGATGGAGCATAATACTCACTCGCAAGGGAGCGACTCGGTGCAACAGAAATGGTTCGTGGAGTTGCGGTTGGCTGCTCTCAAAAAGTGTAAACCAAAGTACCTTTCCATGTAAGGTGCTTGTCTGAGTAAAAGGTTTAAAATGCTACTGCTTTCAGTATTGCTTAGTGCCCCTAACATGTCTGGTGTGCCTTATGCCTTACTTTTAGATGAAGATTTTATGAACTGTTTACAAGATGTTTTACAGCAGGACCAGGTATACTGTATGCAGTGGTCTTCTGCAGTACTTTGGTAAAATTCCATTTCCTTTTTAAAAGTACTAGTGTCTGTCACACAAACTGACTTCTCATTGCGGTGGTCTCCTTTTGAAGAGTCAAACTCTGAATCCTTTGGAGTGAGATTGTGGAATGCTGCTTTGTTTTCTCTCCCATTTAACCCTTTATTCTGTACCAGATATGAATGTGCATGTTCAGGAAAATTATTGCACTAAATTTTTTGTGTAGTTGTAGTTAAGTGCCAAAATCACGGCAACCTCGAGAGAAGGAATAGAATTCTACGCTACTTAGTACTGCAGTATGTCCTATGGGCTTTAAGAGTTTAGAAGTTTTGCAAATTAGTAACCTACTAAAAGGTAGCTGCATATTCGTAGAGCTTCCTTTGCGTTCCAGCGTGTTTTGTACTTCCAGAAAAGCTTTGCTACATATGAATTGGTACATGGTTAACAGACCTGTAACGTTTTCCATGATAGCTGAATTTACTCTTCAGGTCTGTTGGAGCATCCTTTTTATTGAATCACTGTGCAAGGTCACGTTTCTGTTAGTGTTTGCTGGTCGAGACAGAACTCTGTACCCTCAAACTCCGCATCTTGGTTAATGGGACACTGTCAACTATTTTTCCTTTAATACTCTAAAGTGCCTAGCACACTTTTGACGCTATATAAAAAATACGTTCATAGGAGTTGCATTCATAGTTTATTTTTTGTGTAGTGCTGCACTAGCCAGCATGGCTGTTTTTTGGCTTGCTCCTTTGTGCACAGTTACCATTACTGTTAGCAGGAATGGTCTCATCTCTGGGAATTTTTTTTCCTTAACTAGAGTCCCACAAATACCTTTTGGTGTCACGCTAAATTGGTCTCTTAAAAATGTATCGCTTATCCCTAGATCGGTGGATCTTAAAAAATTGTCTTCAAACGACCCGAAGACTTTTTACATCGTGTCAAAATGTGGACCTGAACTGGTTGAAAGTGTCCCACCTGAACAGTGTACCTTGTAGTAGAATATCCTCTAGCGTGCTGTCCCAGGTCTTCCCTCTGTTCGGGAGATATGCAGCGGTCTTGGCAATTGAAAAGAAATGCCTTATGCATTTGGGGCTATTTCAAGCAGCTAAATTGAAACTTTTCAATTCCAAAAGCATATCTTAATTTGGGATTTACCATTGCTTCCAAGACAAAAGTGATGTACTTTGTCAGATATCATAGCTAAACAGAATGCAAGTATGTAATAGGCTTCCATCCCTCTGTCAAAGTGCAGGCGAACGGTCTAACGCTGTCCTTTGGTACCTCTGCGTGTCACTTCAGTACTAACACACGTCGCACTAGTGACTAACAATGAGGGAATCCCTAACTCCTGGCTTCCTAAATGATTCCCTGGGCGATTGTATATTAAATACATATCAACACTGTAATCTTAATTCCCTCACCAAATGCAGTCCCAGTTGGTGAATTTTAAAAAATGGCTTAATCAGACTAGGCTTGCTCAGATATCAATACTATTTGAATTTACTGTCAAACTTGCAGGTTCCTAGGTGATAAGGTGCAACCATTTATAATTATAAACAAATCTTCAGGACACCAGAGTAAAACAGCCCGAGACTTTTATTTTGATTTGAAACTATTAGCCATAAAGCAGAGCACATGGATGGCTCTTCTTGGCTTTTGATGGCAGTATGCAATTTGTATTGTATGTGTCTTTTAATATATATGTATATATATATGAACTCAGTCTGTCCAAAGTATATGTTATACTTGTTTTTAGATTATGGTGCAACTGACTATATTGATATATTATTTATTGAGTGCTGAATCGCCATCTTATTGGTGATAAATATTGCATATTATACAGGAGTGCAATGTATATTCCTTTAGATTGCTGAGGCTTGATTGCTGTGATAACAAAAAAAAAAAAAGCCCTGAAATGTATTTATGAATGGCCCCAACATACAGAGAGTCAGTACTTTATGGAAATAATGTAGCACTTGCCTGGGGCAAGTAAAATAAAGCCTTAGGCAGATAATTATGTAGTTTGCCAAAATGGCAAGCTACTGGAAAGAGAGACTACCTTTGCTGTATTTAATATTTCTCATTTACCTAACAGATATTTGCCGTCAGTGCAGTGTTTATATGAAGGCAGATACAAAAGGGCCTGAGCAAGTCAAGTTTGAATTGCCCATTGGGGAGTAAACAACTTCCAAATTCTTAGATTTCTGACAAATCCTTTGATCAAGGTTTAAATTGCTCCATCTGATGAATCGGTGTTCTGGAAAACCCCGTGTTTCCAAGCAGCAAAGTTAACGCTAGACATCTGTAAGTATAAAGAGTAGCCAGAGCTTTTGCTAGCCAACTCCGACAAATCCAGACCTCTTCCAGGAGACAAATTTCCTAAGCAGGAAGGTTACATAAACTTGAACAATCAGGGAATCGTGCTGTATATCCAGCTCCATTGCTTTTTGAGGAACCGGTCTCTGCCAGCTGAGTTTCAGTGGAGCACGCTGCTCGGAGCAATCCGAAGCGCCGTGGTGCAGCGTGGAGTTTATGTAGGCTCTCCTTCCCTAAGTGCTTCACCCATTTTCATTCCCTCTAGAAACTTAATGGGAGTGCATCCGCTCCGGGTGCAACTCTCCACGCGTGCTAGTGGAGCGGATACAGGCAAATTGGGGTGCAATGTTCCCTGTCTTCAGTTTTTATATGCAACCCTGATCGTTGATGTAGTTGGGTGCACAGGACTTCTGCAGCGTTTGTTTTTGGCTGCATTGGCATTATACATCCGAAAACTCAACTCTAAGGACCAGGCATGACTTTTGCAAGCACAGTTCCTGACATTTGTATCTGGTCCCCCTTTTAAATTGTTTTAAGAAATTTTGTATATGGAGGATAAAGTGCTTATATATTTATTAAAAATCCTTTATCTTATTTGAAATTATTATTTGGTGAAGAAGGGTTTTTCTTTTGGGGGAGGGCTTGTGGGTGGGGGAAGGTAACTTTTAACCTGTCACTTATAAATGAAGCCCTTATTAATCATACAGAAAGGTACTGTTAGTAACTAATGGGATGTCTCTGTTTTATGCTTTGTACATGACAAGTCCATGTGTTACATTTTGTTTCTATCAAAATATTTAGGCATCTGTCTTCAACCAAAACCTAAAAAAAAAAAAAAAAAAAAAAACAAACTGTGATTTTATTTGTTGCAATACATTTGAAATTTCAAAGGGTACTTTGGGGCTCAAAATTAGGATTTCTAAGTCAGTATGTGCATTTCACGTAATAAAGCTGTTAATGGTGAGCAAAGTATTATATACTAACTAGATTTTTTCCACATCTGTATAGTATATTCTATGTATTTTGTGGTATTGAGATTATAGAAAGTTTAGTGTCTGAAACATGCGTTTAATGTGTATTTTTAAACAAATTTATGGCAATTAAAATATTTGGAGAAAAGGGTATCACATTTCAATTTGTAAAGATCTTTTTAACTACTGTGTCATTAAAATGCTTTGTACAATGCAAAACTGTAACTGGAGAAACTAAGTTTAATAAATATCAAATAGATTTTCTGTATTAAACTTCAAAAACACTGTGCTTGTATCTGTTGCTTGGGCTTTTTCCTGCCTGGTATTACATTTTTAAGCAGAATTTAATTTTTTGATCATAGTGCTCTATGTATAGCAAAAGGAAGATGGCATTCAGTGTTTGGGTGCCAGGCTTGTTGATATTTGTCTAATCAGTCTTTGTTTCTTTCAGCCCTCGGAGTTAACATACAATGGGTCAAAATCGGATTTTGAACAATTTACTTGAAAATAGTAGGTGCTTCAGTGGCAAAAGTCAGTCTAGGACATTTATTTGAATAAATTTGATTAGAAGTAATTAAAAGTAAATACCTCTCCTTCCAATTATCACTGGATATATCTGGGATATTGAAAATCCTATCAGTATTATCAGTTTGTTTGTTCCCTCTTTTTAACAGGCATTTGTCTGGGTTACTGATAAGAGTTCAGCCTGAAATGAGATGGGACCAGGATCTACTTCATGCACTTGCCAGGTGGGGAGGATAAATGTCCAAAGTCCACTTTGAATTAAGCACTCGAAACACCAGGTCTGCACTTATCATACGCTTTGCTCACAAGATGCCAGGAAAACCAGGGTGGTTTGCTGAATATAAATTTTTAATTCACAACTTACAAAAAAATAAAAATGATCCATTACCAACAAAAACAAACAAACAAAAAAAAAACAACCAAACAAAGAAAACAAAAAAAAAAATAAAACAAAACCAACATGAGATGCAGAGTCCTTTTATTGAGCTTGGCCACAGAGCCATCCTGAAGCGCGTGCTGCAGCAGTACAGCCTTGGTTAGGAGGTGCTTTCAGCTCTTCAAAGTCCTTTTATCAGTTCGTATGACAGAAATGTTCAATATATTTATTGCTTGATTCACTGTTCCAGCTCTTCCACAGTCAATAAATATTCCACAAGTAGAGTGGAGCATTGCTAGCAGTAACAGTGATGGATGTTCTCCAGCATTGACGGGTCACTCCGAGGCTGTTCTGAGGAAACAGCGGTTCTTCCTGGAAAACAAACCATCGTCAGGCACGGACAGCTCGGGCTGCCAGCTGCGCAGGGCTGGGACAGACAGACAGACAGACAGCCTTGGCTACGTCCTCACCCAGCTGTACAGCACTGCTCGTATTGGGCTCGTGTAGCCGTGCCCACTGTATCCACCTCTTTATTCAGCTCGTCTTGATTTATTTTCTGTTCTTTGCTTTGCATAACCACCTCAAACCATGTGTTACTCAGGGCTACCTGGTCAGGCTGCGGTGTAGAAATCTCCCACAGTTGAAATCCCTTTGTGTCTGCGTCTTCCTGTAGCTGCTGTTACAGTTCTCCTACGTTACTCAGCAGAAGCAAATGCGTTTCAAATGCATGCAAAATAGCAGCCCAACTACCTTGTCCTGGTATACTTACGTATAGTAGAAAATGGATCTGTTCTATCATGTGTATTCTTTCCGGTATGCACACAGTAGGTGCCACAAAAAAATCACCTTTCAGGCACCAAGTTGTAATTTTAACTAACCAATTAACTACATGTAGTTGGACAATTTGCTCATGCCTAGCATTCATGAGAACTAAAGGGCTTTGTTATTTTAGTTGTCTTTTAAACTATGAGCTTTACTGATTAATTTAGGGTACAATATTGCTTTTAATTAGTATACACTTCAAACTAAACAGTATTGGCTTTAAGAAGGATTAATTTTAAAGTGTTAAAGTGAATTCCTAAAAGCTGTCTAGAATCCCACGTTCTTTTTTGAAAAGTCAGGTTATTTGGGGTTGCAATGAAAAGACTAAGGCCTGTAATCGAGGGCACTTGGACTCTGCTCTGTTTGCACTGCTTACAAAAGAAATCTAAATCTATTGCCCCATCCCTATTCCTGGTATCTTTTTTATTCACAGAATTAACTCCAAACCTCGTTGGGGTGAGAAGAGGTGGGAACTTCCCCTACGTCCTATAAGATTAGGTGCTGCTGAGCCTGACATTGATCAGGATTAGTTACCTGCACAGCATTGTGATGCATTCGCTGTTATCCCTGCACGAGGCTCCGATGGGTCTGAGTGAGACTCCTCTCCAGAAGGGGGTCATCCGCCTCGGCCTCGCCAGCCCAGGCTGCCGCCGGCGCAGGGAAGCGCAGTGGGTCTGAAAGAGTTGTGTGGCTGTCAGGAACACGCGGCAGCTGTAGGCACTTGGGCATTTCTCATGCTGAGGTCAGCAGGCTTAAGTGAGGAACTTGAAATCTTTCTCATTTTCAGATCATAGCGCGTGCTGTTAAAGTATAATTGCTTGTATCCTAACCCCAAAGAAGTAAGGTATAAAAATTAACTATGTTTTTTAATCTTGAGCAGGAAGGCAGAATTACTTGATAAGTTACATCTCAGAGTAACCCAGTACTCATGAGGCAGTTACTCTACTTCTTTATGATGTTGAATCCTCTAAAAGAGCTCTACTGTCACCTCTAACTCCTGCCAGTTATTCATACAAATTCTAACAGTTTTTATTAACTACCTGACCATTTGAATTAGCACTTTAAATAATTCTCTGTTTACCTGGCTGAGCAGCAGTGAGCAGAGCAAGACGACTGCCATCATTTTCCAACAGTGCATCTTCCCAGTATGAGCTGTCACTTCAACCGCAGGACCAGCCTTGGGCGGGGGAGGTAGGAAGAGCCCCAGATGGAACTTCCCAAGTGCCAGCTAGATTTTTATAGACTTCATTCTCTTATCGCTGCATCAGCTGTCGGTCATTACAGGAGCAAAGTTCATTTCAGAGCAAGAGGGAATTACTAAGTTAGCATCCGCTGAAGTGATCTGGTTCAAGGCCTGTCTACTTAGCTAATGATTTACTCTCCTTCCACTTGTACTTTGTCTGGTCAGCTTACCAGTTGTGCCAACTGTTCCCTTTTTTAAATCCTACCTAATGTGTTACCAGAACTCCATCGTGTATTTCCAAAGGGTGGTTAGCCCAAAGTATTATGGTAAAGATCAAAAGCCATAACCTTATTTAACTTCAATGACATTTACAGTGTGTGCAGCTTGGAGTTTGTCAGCTGGGGGTGAGTATTGTCTTATCAAGCTCATTTGGAGCAGAGTCATGCTTTTGATTCTGCTTCTCATTCTTGGTACGTGAAAGAATCACAAGGAAGTTACTTAACTTTCCTTTCTATGCACACAGTACTCAAAAAGCAGATGTAATTCTTTCCAGGTGGGCTTTGGAATGTAGGAAGTATGTTATGCATGATAAATAATAGACCTCTTCTTCCAAGGATCTGATGTCTAGTTAAAGATAATCTCTAGCTAGCTAATCCCCAAAGTAGAGGAGACTGCTGCAAGAGTCTTGGGGAGCTGAGTTGCTCCACGTGGCAAGACTATGGTTTCTTTAGATGAGCCGTCTCTGCTATACTCTGCCTCTACCTGACAGAGTAACTCACAGTTAGTCTTCTAAAACGTGCCAACAACTCCCACTGATGTGGATGGTCAGTTCGTAATTAAAGGGAATCTTAAATTTTCCATTGTTAAATGAGATTGCAACAGCCTAGAGAAAAAAATGTTTAAGAGCTGTTACATCTCCTCTAAAATCCTCTCGGCTTACAAACATTGGCACAAGCAGGAGAAGCGTATGTCTAAGATTACAGTCTGCAAATGGACCTTGCTGGTACCCCCTCTTTTTCCTCCTCCTCTGTAAGGTTCCCACATCTGTCCTGCGTACACCGTGTCTGTCAGGTACAAGATTTCTGAGACTGCAGAGTAACAGAGAGAGAATACCAACCTATTTGTGTCAACTATGTGTAGGTTTTGGAGCATAGTTTTAAGTTACTTCAAATACAAAGATACTGTATAAAATAGCAATCTGTTTTAGCTAATTTGTAAATATAAATCCAGATGTAATAGGCTACCGTTTTCTGTGATTGCTTAATATGGAGGCCCCAGTGCCAGCATGGAAGGCATGTTACTTCGATTAAGATAACGCTGTGTTGTCAGGTCCCTGTCTACTGGTGATTACCCCTTAGCCCAAACTTCACTGAGATTAAATAAAAACCTTCCCACCATGTTGTCTACAGCCACTACTGGAAAATTTGCTCCTTTCCTGCGGTGGTTCTTACACTCTTTCCTCTGCCCTGTTTGTCTTGCTTCTCTGGGAGGAAGAACCAAAACCCTTAGTTATTTTACCTTTCTGGGTCTAATGAAGGGAAGGAAGGGGGACAGTAAATCATGGCACATGATGGCTGAACTTAAAAGTTTCTTTTACGTTTGGCTGTGAACTTCTCAGTTGTTTTTCCCATGAATTCTTTTTTTTATGTGCATCTGCGTTCTAATTTCTGCTGTTTCCACTAGGCACTAGTAGAGAAGAGAGAAAGGAAAACAAGCGGCAGCAGCAGTAGTCTTGACTTCATCTGTGGAGCACGGGATGCGAAATGACAGCTCTCAATTCTGACAGCAGTGCCCTCTCTAAATTGTCCTTTCTCAGCTTTTTTGGCTAGGTGAGACTAGTATTTTATGATCCTATGTCAAAATTGCTGTGTGTCCTTCTGGGTTACTAATAGCATCAGCATATCCTTTTCAGGCAGCAATCCACTTGCCCTCTGCGAGAGACTGGGGGGAAGAGAAAAAAAAAATGAACCAATTGTTTCTGTGTATGCAAGTCCAGCACACCATTAAAATGCCAGAGCAGATACAGCTTAAAACACACAAAAAATGGCACAGAATATTGTTACTTCTAACATTTAGCAAAAGGAGAGCATAAATTAATTAGATAACTGAGAAATTTTCAAACACCTTGTTCAGATTCTGAAATACTCTCCGGCCGAAGTCCCAAATGCCTCGTTGTCCCACAGGAGCCATCCCCGCTGGTAACGGCTCCTGCACCCAGGGGTGCCCGGGGAGCACCGGGGGTTTGAGGATGCCTCAGGAGGGTTGTTCAGCTGCTGTGGGTGCTCCTGGAGGCTGAATAAGCAGGACACAAAGTTCTGAATAAAGCCCGCTTCTAGGTATCTTTGCCAGCTCTCAATTGCAGCAGCCAATTCGTGGCTCCCTTCTTGGAATAACAAAGATGCTTGGGCGGGGCTGGAGCAGCTCCCCTCCGGGGCCAAGCTGAGTGATTTGGGGGGGTTCAGCCTGGAGAAGAGAAGGCTCCGGGGAGACCTTCAAGCGGCCTCCCAGTGCTTAAAGGGGGGACAGGAAAGGTGGGGAGGGACTCTTGGTCAGGGGGTGGGAATAGGACGAGGGGTAACGGTTTTAAACTGACAGAGGGCAGATCTAGGTGAGATCTAAGGCAGAAATCCTTCCCTGTGCAGGGGGTGAGGCGCTGGCCCAGGGTGCCCAGGGAAGCTGTGGCTGCCCCCTCCCTGGAAGGGTTCAAGGCCAGGTTGGACGGGGCTGGGAGCACCCTGGGCTGGGGGAAGGGGGCCCTGCTCATCGTAGAGTCTTGAAGGTCCCTTCCAACCCAAACCAGTCTGTGATTCTGAGATGAAACCTCCCCCAGCACAGCTGGTACCCGTCACCCCTTGTGAAGAGCCTCAGTACAGAGGTCAAGGTCCCCCTTCTACCCAGAGCCATCAGCCAGCTCATGCAGTTTTGGTCAATCCCAAACCAGGTGGACTATTTTTTCCACAGATCTCAAGGCTCCAGGAAAAAGAAGTAGCCAGTGATGGGAAAATAAAGGCAGGAACAAGCTGTTATTTCAAATCATCTCCACCTGAAGGCAGCCCTTGCTGCACTAGTTACACTGAGAAACACTTCAAAGAAACGGGAGTCAAAAAGCCAGGAAATGCTCTAACATAAAAGAGTCTGAATGTACTGACCTTTTGGCTGATTATCTCCCTGTCCAGAGTGAACCAGACAGAGACATGACGCTAGTCACCTTAAACATCTCAAGACACAGATTTCACACAAAGTCATGGGGCAAAGTTAAAGTTTATTAGACCTGATTTATCTCCCTCTTAATCCCCTTCTAGTCACATGAACAAGCCGAGCAACGCCCAGTTGATGATACCGTGAGGTAACAATCTCCTTGTTAACTCGGTTACTGGTCGTTTTCATAGTCGGCGGGGTTCTTCCTCTTCAGTCTCTCAAACTCTTGCGTTCCCCACGAATAAATGAGATAAGCTGCCACAAAGGCTGAAAAGGAAGGGGCACACTCACAAGCCGCGCTGCAATGAGCTCGACACACGATGGGGGGGGGGGGGGGGGGGGGGGGGAAGCGGGGCTCCATCTCTCGAGCCATCCCCCTCGGTACTCACGGGGAGTCACCTTGAAGACCTGGGAGCTGAACCGCCGCCATATGTTGGGCAGCCCGTGGGAGAAGACGTTGGGGAAGGCGCGCTGCTCGAAGGGCGAGAGGCTGTAGGTGATGACATGGCGAACCCGCGCCAGGTTCCCGAAGTGAAGGCCCATGGTGCCGACGGGTGACCTTCCTCCTCCTCCTCCCCTTCTTCCCCGCCGCCGCCCCGGAAGCGGAAGCGCCTTCCCTCAGCCCTTCCGGGGGCGGGCGGCGCCATTTCCCTCAGTCCCTCCCTGACGGCCTGCGCCCTGTCTGCCATCCCGAGAAAAATCACACTTTATACCCAGTAATTGTAATCATTTCATCCCAGCGGAACTCCCCCCCTCCTACAGCGGGGGGCTCGGAGGCGAGTCAGCGCCTCGCTGCTTCGCCGGGGACGCCTCACGGGAGCGCTTGAAAACCCGCTCCTGAATAGCAAATACCGATCAGCAGAGGCATCCACAGCGAGAGCGCTTCGGTGTTTGAGTTACTATTAGAATATGTGTCACTACAGACTGAAAACGGTAAATCTGCCCAAGGAAACGCGGTCTCAACCGTCAGTTGCGTTCTGAAGCTGCTTGGATCCAACCCCAAAACCTCACTTCCTTAGTTTGGCTTCAGCTCTTTACCTTAAACAGCTTTTTCCAGTTGTGTCAAATAATTCTACTTTCCTCCTTGGTGGCTCGGTGAAGCTGATTTCCCGCTATTTAAAAGGGAGTAGCAGGAGCAACTGTATTGGGTGCTTTGAGTTAAACCAATCAAAGGTAGTGTTGACCATGGGCTGGGATTTTTTTTTTTTTTTTTATTTGACATTGAGATATTTGCCTTGAGCCTTTGGTATTTATTTCAAACGAACCTCCACCTGGAGCCAAAGCGAGTGCTATTTTTAGTTCAATGGTTCCTGGCTAACGCACTCCACAGTTACAGACTTCATTGGGATAGAAGTTATATATGACTGTGAGCCAGATCTTATTGCACCTTTGTGGAGAACTTCAAACTTGGAGGAATGTCACAGCAGTGTCACCTAGTTCGAAGGGAGGAAGGAGGTGAACCCAAGTCACTGAACTGTAACCCCCCCCCCCAGGCCAAGCCCTGGGGAATTGCCCATGTCAGGAGCTCAGCTCTGGGTCTGGTTAGGTGGCTTAGGATAGAAAGTTAAGGCATTTATGCATCAATGCATTAGCAAATCGTAATTTTAAAGGCTATTCTGAAGTTTTGAAAAGGCAGTGCTGCTGCACATCCTTTTAGTGTAAAAAAAAAAAAAAAAAACAAAAAAAAACAAAACCAACAACAAAAACAGAAAACAAAAACAAACCACAAAAACCCCTACCAAAACTGGGGGGTGGGAGGGGTTTGTGTGTGAGCCCTACTTAAAGCCCTCTTACCTTGGGTCCCCCCCCAAAACCAATATTTTTGACAGAATTCTTAAAACTAGAAAAGTCTAGGAGAAAATAAGTGTAGTAAAAGCTTGGTTTGAAAGCATGTCAAATTAAAGCACTGTTACCTACAATTTTATTGTGAGAGAACACAAAGCTATGGCCCCACATTTTCGGACTACTAAATCCATTTAACAGCATTTAAATAAACTAATTTAATAGGCTTGTAAAAGCTCTTTTTTTTTTTTTTTTTTTTCCAAGCTGACAGCATTGAACATTTCGTTGTCATTCAGAAGCAAGTGGCAGTGTAGTTCCATGTGTAGACTCCTGTACCCTCACCCCATGAATAGCTTGTGAATTATTCTGGTTCTAAACAGCTCACCAGTGAGCTGGTTCTAGCTTTTACTCAAGTAGTTCAGTGATTTAAGTTTTCACAAGTTACCACACAGCTGTCCTTAAATTCTTACCACCTGTTGGGAAAGCCTGAAGAGCATGACAGAAGACAAACAAAAACAACCTTGTGCCTTTTTTCCCCTATTACATTTCCAGTTCTGTAACAGAATGAAAACCCAAGAAAAGAGCTTAATGTTGAAGACTTTCCTCTCTTCCTAGACACTTGCTGGAGATACCATATAAAGAAATCTTGTGTTTGGAGGAAGACTAGCAGGCACTGAGTGTAAGTGGTATGCACAATTGGCATTTTTTTTTTTTTTAATTTTTTTTTTTTAAATCTATAACAAAACAGCTTAAAATATACATCTGGTAGTTGAAACCTCTTCCACATTTTAAATGCATAATTATTCCAATAAAAAGCTACTACTTACATTTATTTTCACATTCCAGAAAGACTGAGTGGCTACAGAAGTGCTGTGGTATAAACATCTTCTAACTAACTCCATGCCGAATCCTAACCGATTTTGTAGCGCTATTAGAATGACATGCATGCTATTCAGTCGCTTATAGCTGCAGATACTTTGAGAATGCAAAAAATACCCAAACCCGGAGTAAAATCAATTAGGGTTCACCCACTACCGACAAGTGCACTTGGTAGCTATCATATCTTCATACTCTTTGTAGACGATGGAGCCGTCGGGCTCTATGGTTAGGACGCTCAGTGGGCTGTATTCGGCAGGAACGCAGGAGGGCTTTGGAACAGAGGAGTCCAGCTTCTCGTATATTATGTTCTGTACCATTGTGTGTACCGGAGAGCCGTAGCGATGCCCGACGACCCTTGGGCAGTCGCCTTTGCAATACTGAGGGCTGTACCTGTGAGGTGCTATTATCCATTTGTCCCATTTTAGTTGGCTAAAACTTAGACGGAAGTTGTGAAGCTCACACTCGTTTTGAGGGAACAGAAATTGTTTGAAATACTCGCTCAGATTATAAGGTTGAGTTGCTGGTGCTTCCTTCAGATTCCCATCTCTTCGACGTCGAGAGACCCTTTTACCCTGTGAATTCTCTTTGCCTTTGTCACCCGTAGGATCAACAAGCGGACTGTTCCTTTGCCTGGGCCGCACTGGGTTTTTCCTTCTGTGTCTAAGTGAGTTCCACCTGTGATAAGCTTGCTCACTGGTATCATTCAGATAAAGAAGAAGAGAAGGGGAAACCAGTGCCATATTAATGGGATTTTCCAGTTTTGTGTTCTGTTGTGGATCACCCATCAGACAAGTGACATTCACAGCCATATGAATATTTCTCCTGTTAGTAGCAATTAGAGGCTGGAGAAAAGAAGTCACATCAATTTCAACCCACTTGCGTTTTCTAACTTCAAAGTGCAGGCTAAAAGCTATAGTGTGTGAAATGCTGGGACATACTTGGCTAGAAAAATCATGCTCCTTAACAGATAAATGGCACATGCATGTAATGGAAGAAGAAATGGTCATTGATGCATCAAAGGAATAGAGCAAGACAGACTTCAGTAAGTGCTCTAGAGCAGTAACACGATCCAGGTTGAAGAGTAAATCCACCGAGTGAATGTCTCCTGAGAAGTGAAACAAAATTTTGTAGAGTTAATGCATCTTAATTTTCCACCTAGACATAAATACTATCGTACAGTGATTAAGTAGAAATAATTCCGCAGCAGAAGAAACTAGTTTAGATGCCCTCCCTTATTTTTATTATATAGAATTTATACTTTGGTCAGGGACATAAGATTTAAAAGTTGAGAAAAGAGAGCAAAACCAAGAAACCCCAGGCTTTTAAGAAGTGTTAGAATTCATGTCATTGAAGAAACAGTACAGGAGGAAGTTAGCAGTTGCCTTTTCAGTGTCAATATGGGGAAAGAGTAACTAGACACTCCAAATTATACAAGCCATGAAATGAAATAGCTATGGTTTTAAGTGAATGCTTTCAGAGCTTTTTAGCATTAACTCTAGTCATTCTTCCTACAGAGTAATAGCAAGGCAGAAGTTTATTTATTAGCATTACCTAAAAAAATTATCTTTGTTTCATGTCACTTTGCTTTGCTTTTATGAAACAGAACCAAAGCTTCTAAGTTATTCTGAATGCACGTCTGTCTCATTCGCCCTTACTGTAAGATATGCTACTCTTATATTTTCTCTGATGTTAAGAATTTTTCTGGCATTCTTTGAATTTGCTCCAATTTCCATCTTACTCTGAGATTGATGACCCCGTTTCCTAGCCTGTTTTCCAGATGTGGATGTAGCATATGTTTAATACATTACTTTTTTTCCTACTCACCACTATATTTCTTCTACAATTAGAAACTGTTAATTTTTGACCACACAAATGCACTAAGTGATCTCTTCAAACTTACATAGGCCAAATAATCAGAAATCAGATGAAGGCTCTGTAGACCTTGATAAACTTGTATTTCCTATATTAATGAAGTTTTCTACAATCATGAATTCAAATACTCTCAATAATTGTAGGAAGTGGGTTCAGATTCAAGCTGCTACTTTAATTATGACTACATTTAAGATATGTAACCATGAGATTAACTGTTAACTGTGAGTATATTTCTGAATCAGTATATTATATTATGCCAGGAAATTATAAACATTGATTTTTGTTTATTTTATTTTTCCATACTTTCTAACTGAACCTCAATCTCAAAGCGCTGTTACTGTGCACAAATACAATTTTTAAGGTTATCTGTCTTTCTAAGTGAAAGAATCCAAGTTAGAAGAACTCAGATCACTTATCAGCAGTCACATAAGTAGAATTAAAGGCCAAGGGTTTCTAACTGAGGTTGCTGTGCCCAGCCCACATTTAAGAAAACCATGAAAGCATGGTAAATTACAAAGTGCCCAGCCATCCTAGTTTTTCAGTCCCGAGTCTGATTTACAAGTAGTTCTACTCTTCCCTTCAGAACATTCACACATTTGGGTCATGATTCTTCCCTAGGAAACGTAGAAAAGGAGAAAAGTTATCTGGCAGTGGGACTCTGGCAACTTGTTACAGAGCTTGTTACAGTGCTGTGTTTTTAGGGCCTTGAAAAAAAACAAAACCAAGATGGGTAGCAGAAGGAAACATGATGTCCCTTATGTCTAACCATTTTTAACACTTCCCTTACTTAGAGCCAATTGTAGTTTTCTCTGACTCATAATAAGATGAGTCATCCTGAGACATCAGTATCATCTTGAACATAGTACCATTTCTATGGCATTTCCCAAACTGTGGAGAAGTCTATGCCTAATGCCATTCAAGGAGAAGTAGGTTATGAAAAACACCTACAGTTTAAGAGAAGAGCCACCAGGATTAAAACAGCAACAGCTCTAAAGAAATAAGATATTTTTATATTATGTTGCAAGCACAGAATATGTGGAAAACCCCCATTTAACCTTTGCAGCTGAGGTCAA